TTTTTTTCCTGCAGAGACTATCATCACTACCATGCCTACACTACTGAGAAGCAGGATTGCCCCCACGACAAAGGGCGGTGCCGTGCGGCGCGCACTGGACGCACTGCAGCCCGCCGTCACTATTTCTAAAGTCCACGAGACATGTTACGGAGTACGAGCCAAATAACTGTGTGACGGCTCCAGCAATTTTGCGCCAAGTTCGTATTTTGGGCACCTACAGCCTTTAATCGCTGCTTGGGAGAAAATACTTGTTCGATTCTTGAGTAAAGGCAGTTTCTGCCGTTTACGCGCCTCTCACGCGTGCAGTATTTTACCAGTGCAGTCTTGACACAATTTTAATGAGATAGGGAAAGATGCCGGCTTTTCGGATTGAGTAAAAACGAAAAACTCCGCTGACTGACTATAAAAATACATAATAGTAATTGTATTATGGAATGACAACAATGCGTAATAACTTTTATGAAAAGCTTCGCATAGACATATCAGTCAGTAGCGTGCAGTCTTGGTGGGTCGCTCTTCCTTCCCAAATGCTGTTACTGCAGAGGCATCCTTTGTTTTCCGTGCTTTCTTCAAAATGTTGATGAAAAGATAGTGGTCAAACAGATTGCGATATTGCTTGCTATAAGAAGATGATTTTTTTACATGTGGGAGTAATTAAGTCATAAACCTATTAAAGTAGTATATGAAGAAGTTTGCAGCGGTAGACAAGTTCAGGAACGTTCCAGTTAGCCAGGTCCTATTCAGCTCGTCCATGTTGATTTGCAGCACGGAAAGCACCACGTTTACAACCGCGAAGCTCACAAAACTGAGAGCGATTGCAGCAGTGACTAGTATTAGTGAGCGATAAATTCCACGCATATGTTCTTCACCTACAATGAAATAACCTATGCAAGCAAGCATTGATGGCCAAAGTGCGGCACTTGTAATAGTGCATCAAGTGTACGCAAGGCATCTAGTGGAGATGCTGAAGGGCTGTTTATCGGCAAAACTTACTTATTGATACTTTCCTCACTCTACGCAAAAAAAGGGCGTAACAGATCACTGTCATAACGTAAATTGCAACCACTCCATTCATCAGCAATTTCTTTGTCGCATCATCCATTGATGCGTTGATAAGGCAAACAGTCATGCTAGAAATATTTGGCTCTATGGGTATCAAGTTGCATTTCACATGCTTTTTCGTACAGTAAACTGGTTGATAAAGATTTTTGCTGATGAAGGTTGTACTCTTACGCGCTTGACACACATCCGATAATGCAAGCGGATTGTCATAGAAGATATTATGATTATTTCCGTTCAATTTCAATTTGTTATTCAGCAAAAGCAAAAGATACTCTTATAAGTCACCCGTCTCTGAGCCTGCGAATAAACGCAATAGTCGTTCCCATCATGGATATTGTGACTGCCAAACATATAAAAACTCCGATATACAATTTTTTATGGACGTTAATCATGTAGTGACTGCAATCGGTGCTTATTGTTAGATTGATAGTTGCTTCGTAGGATGTGGGGAAAAAGCTATACTCACTAGAATTTCTGGAGCGACATCAACCTGTCAATGGCTACAATAAGATGGAAGAGTGTAGAAAAGCACATTCCGAAGACAGGGACCAATTGCCATAAGATGCAGCTTTCACGAGTTATGACATGGTTTGGATATCTAGAATATCTGCGACTCCTTGAATGAAATAATTTCTTTGAGAAGCTCACACTAAATACGTCAATGACATATTTATATTAGCCATGATATGGCCAACTACACCTAAAGAAACCAGAGCGATGAAAATATTGCACGGACTACGTAGAGCTCTGAAAACAAAATCAAAAGAACAATCATTTTGTTTCAGAATTCTTTGAAGACTTACTTGGAGCGGATGGTGATATAGACTATACATGAGTTTCCGATGACGCTGATGGATGGGATAACAATATAGTAGATCTGATAGAATAATGGAAAATGTACTTCCATTGACACAAGCTTTTGTAAGGCGCCTGAAAATGGGATGCTAGTTTAGACAGTTATAGACAACCATCTACAGCTTGTCGCGAGGTAATTCATGATACGTTATACAAAGATTGTAAATTATCAAGTAGCCCATACCGTAAAATATTCAATGAGAAGAACTTAAACAACTAAGTATGATCTCTTCTCTCTCCGTTCCCCCCTACCCTCCCCTATTTCTGTAACTGAGATATGTACAAATCAGTGCGTCACCTCTGCTTCGCAGAGGCTCGCAGTGGACCTACTTTCAGTGTGCCCTTACTCTTCCCACATAAAAGGCCACTAAAACTCACCGCGCTATGCGAGCTATCATGAATAAATTGTAAACAACTACTTCATTTGTAAGGCCTTGGCCATACCTCACGCGATTTCAGTCGGGACGCGATTTGGCATCACTCCAATTTTCCATAACTCATCGTGTGCGGATTCTGAATGTGCACAGGAGAGGGCAGTCTATCAATCTAC